CGTTCTACTCCAAATATTAGTTCTGTAGTCCCTGTTTTCCAGCGCGGCACAGTAGTTTTTAGGCGACACTTTGCAAGCCAAAATAAAAGCGGTGCGCCCGCTTCATTGGAGGAGTTAATGGCAGTGGTGCTGTACAACAGTTAGGCAATTCATTTTCTTCCTTAATCGTTAATATGGGCCTTATAGTGTGTCTTATAGACGACCGCGACAACCTAACCTAACCTAATATGGGCCTTATATATCCGGCGGCAGAACCCCCACATACCCCCCCTAAATACGGCCTTGTCTGCTATGATGAGTGCCTCCTCTGTACTCGGGGGCATCCTTAACACAGGCTGTCGGAACTTCCCTGTCATAGGCCAGATATTTGGGTCCAGACAGAAGTGTCATGTCTCCGGTTTATGTCCAAGTTGACCTTCATGGCGTACCCATCTCTGAATTGAGGGAGAAATACAATTTTTAGTTTGGTACTTATAAGGATATAGGTACTAGGCTTTCCCAAAAGGGCTACACTTACCAATTTGTATTCTTTTGACTTTAGCCCACAAATATATTTTTTCCCATCAATCTTGGATGAAGACAATGTCGACCACTCTGAACCTGCTTTATTCAGGTGCAGGTTTATTTGCAAGTTCGGCATTATGTCGGCATCTATCTTCTGCCTGACCAGTATATAAGAAACATGGACTAAGCTTCTCTCAGTACGCTAATATAAAGGGTAGGCCCATAGAGTCCGCCCATCATTCTGTTTTTAAGGTTATAGAGGAGTCTTTGAAAAGCAAAGACTTCGCAGTTAGGGCCTTCCTGGATCTTGAGGGGGCTTTTATTACCAGAGGCAATTGTAAAGGTCGAAAGCAAGCTCGGAGTTGAGACCAACCTAGTTGCGCTTATCTCACGCATGCTATGCGATATAAATATCATTGCTGGTTGAGAAGAGAGGTTCTCTCCAGCGTAGGGTCATTATGGGCAGGGATATCTAAATTTAGCCACAAACTGGTCTGCAATCTGCGTGCTCACTAATAATCCTGGCGAGACGGAACTCATCTTGTTCACCAGGAGATACAAGGTGCCTCAAGCCCAGCTTCCCTCGAAGGGTGGAACTCTACATTTGGCGTCAAAAATTTTCGAAATTGAGGTCAAATTTTTTCTATACTCCTTCTGACCATACACGTTTTTGCCTGGAAAATGCTTGCTTGCTCCGGTGGACAGAAGGATATCCCATAAGAAAATACCGAGATGCCCTTCAAGCGCTTAGTCTCTCTCCGAATGCAGTCATTGCTACTTAGAAATTTCGTGTGGGGTTTGTGGGGTTTCTACTTAGGATTGATTTTTTTTTCAGTAACCTGAGGCCCAATATCTGATTGCGCTATCTGCAATACAATTTTTGGTCCAAGGGTAATTCATATTTATTGGACCTAGGATGCTGAGTTTTAGCCTCGTGTATCTGGGCAGCACTCATCCGCGCCTAAACTTAAACAGAAAAGAAATTAGCTTTCTCATTAGGACACTTGCTGGCCACTGCCAACTTGGTTTGCGTGAGATAAAAATAAAAGTGGACTCTCTCTCATAGCGACAGCAAAGTGGTTTGTACTTGAGTGAGCTCAGACTATCGAACGTCATATACTCCAAAAAATGCGTCTGAGGCTCTGTGGGGCATTTCGGGCATTTGAAGGTTTACGAGTGTGTGTGTGTGAGTAAGTTTGTTGCACTTTCACACTAAAACCGCTGATGGTATTTTCAAAAGTTAAAGTGAAGTAATTAGTTAGTAAAACAACGAGAATGTCAAATGCAAAGGATTCAAAAACGATTTATTTCGAAAATGTTTTTAAGACGGTTGCCACCCGTTCAAAAAGTAAAATCAATTTAAGAAAGAAGTGGGATCAAATGTTTTAATATAGATATCAAACGAAAGAGGTATATAAAGTTGTATTTCCAAAAATACTTTAAGAGGGTTGCCACCTGTTTGGAAATTCAAAATTAATTTAAAAAACAAGTTGAACGAAATAAATATTTCCATATGGGTGCCAAACAAGAGAAGTTAAAGAAATCAGCTTTCTTTCTAAAGTATTTTTGTAGAGTGTTGCCACCAGTTCAAAAAATTAATATCAATTTAATTAACGACTTAAATACAAATTTTTAATATGGGTATGAAGGAAAAGAGGTTTCAGAAGGCTTTATTTTGAAACGGGTTGCCATCTGTTTCCACATTCAAAGTTAATTTAATTTACAAGTAAGGTGAAATATTTTTATACAAAACGCAACTGTCAATCGACAAGGATCTTAAACTTTATTTCGTTTTTTATATTTTTGAAGAGAGTTGCCACCTGTTTAGAAATTCAAGATGAATTTAATTAACAAGCTAAATTAAATATTTTAATATGGTTATCAAAGGATAAAAGTTTAGAAAGCCTTATTTCAAAAATATTTTTGGACGGGCTGCAATCTGTTTTGTAATTCGAAATTATTTTAATTAACAATTTAAATGAAATATATTAATAAGGATGTCAAACGAGAGAGATTTACGTAAGCTTTATTTCTAAAGTACTTTTGGAAAGGGTTGCCTCCAGTTTAAAAGTTTCAGTGCTATTTAATGAAAATTAAACGAATTTAAAAAAAGCTCTTTCTACAAAATATTTTTGAAGAATGTTTCTACCAGTTTTAAAAGGCAAATTTAACTTAGTTAATTAGTTAACTGGTATAATTACAATGCATTGCACTAAATTCATCAGCATAATTTGATAGCCTTTGGTAAAATATATTCAGGTGCAGCTGACATTTGTTTCTCCTACAATTTTTCCCCACTCTCTTTACAGATCCTGGGTGTCCTTTGCGCCTTTATGTTGGCTAAAACTCTGCGTCGCAACAAGTCTATACGCGCAGCACGCCGCTGGCAACTACAACAAAGCTTGGGTGTACTCATTTCGGGTGGGAAAATGGCGCCACCACCCAATTCACCAATTAACGGTTATACACAATTGGAGCGTGCCGAACGTTACGTGGAACAAGATCCCATAACTTATACGCCAAGTAGTCCCAGCGTAAATTAGGTGAAATGCAAACGGCAGAGGGATGAGTTCAATGCGCCAAGAGCAAGTAACAAGCAACACTGAAGTGCCTAAAATAGTTTTTTTTCGTCTCGTTGATCTTTGTTTTTTCTTTAATTATTGATTATATTTTTTGAACTTTCTACTATACAAAAAAAAAATTGTATATTTATTGTAACACACAGCAAATTTAATCTATATACTAGTTATATGCAAGTGCAGGTAATTATGTACATAATCATACACTCTCAATTGTATTAGCAAGTAAATGTGTCAAAATTAAATAAAGTTTTACTCCAGTGACAAAGAAAACGTNTTCAATGCGCCAAGAGCAAGTAACAAGCAACACTGAAGTGCCTAAAATAGTTTTTTTTCGTCTCGTTGATCTTTGTTTTTTCTTTAATTATTGATTATATTTTTTGAACTTTCTACTATACAAAAAAAAAATTGTATATTTATTGTAACACACAGCAAATTTAATCTATATACTAGTTATATGCAAGTGCAGGTAATTATGTACATAATCATACACTCTCAATTGTATTAGCAAGTAAATGTGTCAAAATTAAATAAAGTTTTACTCCAGTGACAAAGAAAACGTTTATTTATTTAAATTATTTGTATTTAAATATTGGTACCAAAAAAAAAAATAAATGCTTACAATTTTATTTACGCACATCTTTCCTTAGATTCATTGTAATTTTTTTAGGCCCTCCACAAATGCTTGCAATGTCTTCAATTGCTGCTGCACTGAAGTGGTTGCCGTGCCACCGGGCACATCATATTTCTCCACATTTACAGCATAATCGGCCACCTGCACTATATCCACATCGAAATGCTTGCAAATTTTCTGCAATTCGCCCAGCGGAATTTCGGTGAGTTCCCGCCCCACCTTCTCGGCATAGGCGACCACTTCGCCGATATAGTGATGCGCTTGACGGAATGGCACGCCTTTACGTACCAGATAGTAGGCCTGCGAGAGCGATAATTATGTCTAATTGGTTTTATGCAAACTTTCCTCAGTTTAATAAGAAAAAAAAAGAAAAACTCACCCAATCCGTGGCCAACATATCTGGACTCAGCGCCGATTCCATGCGTTCACGATTCAGCTGCATGGTTCTTATGACACCTTCAACTACGGTTAGAGCGTCCTGTAGACGATCGAAAGCATCGAACGCATATTGTTTATCAAATTGCAAGTCCTTATTGTAAGTGGTTGGTGTGCCCTTAATGGTCATCATGATGCCTAGCAGATTTATGGTAGAGAAATAGAGTATGGAGTTAAAATATAAAGTAAATACGCATTTTGGTATACACTTACCACTCAATGAGGAGCATATGCTGCCCGAAATTCCACGCACCAACTCCAAGCTATCAGGATTACGCTTCTGTGGCATCAAACTGCTGCCTGTTGAGAATGCATCGGCAATTTTTATGAAATCGAATTCCTTGGTAGCATAGATTATTAAATCTTCAGCCAAGCGTGAGAGATGCAGACTGGCCAGTGAGCAACAGTAAATGAAGTCAACTAGGAAATGGAAAAGTACAATCATTTTATTTTGGGTCTATAAGCACACGAAACGTTAATGATACTCTTCACAATAAGGTGCAAGGTCTCGGTGTTGGGACCCTCGAGGGTAGGCATGGAAGCTGAATTCCCGCATACGAAAGAGTCAAACTCAGCAGACCAACTGGATGTAGCGATTCTTCGTCTAACGAGTTCTCTCAACGAATGTTATATGAGAACAAACCTCCGAAGCGATATACAAAGTGGTGGGCAGCGAAGCTAAGGAAAGCAGCTAGGAAAGCTTTTAATAGAGCAAAGTTTATGAAGGATGCGGAGGACTGTGCGTTTAAGATAGAGCTAACAAAGCAACGCAGGCATTGTGCTCCAAATTTTTGTGTGGACGTCGAAATGACTACTGGAGCTGCGCAATTAAATTGGTGCCTTTCGAAGAGCTCTGCCCGGCTCCGGTTTCCGGGAGTATATGTAGTTAGGGGGAGACAGTCAGCCTCGTAGCAGAAATCGGTAACACTTAGAGGTAGGGCAGTCCAGGCGACGTAATTGTCACTAAGGCTAAAGTAGGTTGAGCTATTAAATTCGTCCAAATCTAAAAGTCTGCGGATACGAATGAAACCTTACAATAACACCTTGGCTAACGACTATCTCGATATACATATAAGACTAGTCTCCTCCTTAGCTATATAGCGAAGCCATGATTGGAAGTGTGAGTGCATTCCTAAAGCAGCGAGAACTCCGTTTTCCTTTCGAAAACTTCAGCGAGGGTCGAAATGCTTACCACGAAGATAGAACGGTTGCCTTGCAAGAAGTTTTTAAGAATATTGAACAGAAACAGACAAAAGAACTTTTTTGACAAAAAGCACTTTCAAATTGAGATGAATAAGTAGGTATGTAATTTTGCTAGTGCTACTCCAACCGTGAGCAAAGCACTAGCATTCCATTCGAGTGATCCGAGGTTCAAATCCTCGGACAGCGGATTTTTTTTTTTAATTAGAAATTTGGTTTTCATTGTTTTAAAAAGAAAATATATTTAATTTTTAGAAACTTTTTTTATTTTAAATTTTAGAAACTAATTTTATTTTTGTCAATATTATTGTGGGTTATTAACATTTCAAAAGCAACAAAGTCTAATACCATGTTCTGACCGACATCGAAAACATGTTTTCGTTGCTAAAACTGGTTTTCGACCTAAAACTTGTGTTTTCGTCCATGTAAAATCTGTCAAACGAAAACCAGTTTTCGCTGAAAACTACTTGAAAACTCATGTTCCACTCAGTCCAATCGGTGTCTTCACTAGTATTTTTTCGATTATTTATCGAAGTGGGAATCATATTTTATCATCCTTAATACGCCATTTCGGATTTATTGTTAATTGGTTGGCCTAAGTAAAATAAGAATGAAAGGAAGACGTTGTAAATGAAAAGAAATTGAAGGAAAAGTATTTTGGTTCTGGTTTTGTGTAGCAAAACTGTAATCAAAAGATGTAAGAAATGTCAACGGAAACGCTAACAGCCGGTGTGAACAGCCTTCAGTCCACAATCCCAAAACTCTTTTTCAAACTTTTTCCGTTGTCGGTCAGAAAATGGTATAAACTGTAGAAGTCATAGCTGAATAACAATATTTAAATAATTTAATTTTTATTTTTTATTTTCATTTTCGGATTTATTTTTAAAAACTTTTTATTTAAATTTTATTGTTTTAAAAAGATTTTTTTTTTTTTTATTTAATTTACTTTTAGATAGATATTTTTTCATCCTTTTTAATTCACTTCTGTTTTTTTTAATGTAATTTTCTTTAATTTTTTTTTTTTCAATTAATGTTCTTTAAATTTTATAATATATATAAATATTTTAATGTTTTTCTTTTAACTTATAGATATTATTTGATAAGAAATTTTTTTTTAATTTCATTTCATTTTTAAAAAATATATATATTTTTTCTTTTTTAAATATGTTTGTTGTGTTTTTCGTTTTTAAATATGTTTTCTCTATTTCAATTCAATTTTCTTTTAATTTTTAGATTTTATTCTTTTATATTTTTTAAATATCATTTAATTTCAATAAGTTTATATAAGTTTTTTTCCTTTAATATAATTTTCTTTTATTTTTTTATTTTCACTGTTATAAAAAGAAAAAGATATCCATGTATTTTGTTTGTTTGATTTTATTTTAAAAAAACATATAGTTTGACAAAGGGAGCGTGAGCAAAGCACTGGTGTGCAATTCGAGAGTTTCCTGGTTAGAATCATCGGTTAGTGGAATTATTTATGTTTTCATTTTTTATATGAAAGAAAAAAATATTCTTTTGTTTGAATTTTGTTTCAGTTTTAGAAACAATTTTTTTGTTTTTGCTTTTGTTTTTTATTTATTTATTGTGTTTTTCTTTTCATTTTGTAGATTTTATTGTTTTAAAAAGAAAAAATATATTTTTTTTATTTGATTTAATTTATATTTTTTTCATTTATTGATTCAATTTTTATTATGGTTTTAAAAAGAAAAACATATTTTTGAAAAAACCTATTCTATACTCTGTTTTAATATTTCTTTTATTTTATTTTCTTTTAATTACAAAAATTTTTGTTTAAAAAAAATTCTTCTTCTGTTTGAATTTAATTTCAGCTTACGAAACTTTTTTTAATTAATTGTGTTTTCCGTTTTTTAAATTTAATTTTTCGATTTTATTGTTTTAACAAGAAAAAATATTTTTTTATTTATTTACATACATAATTTAATTTGTATAACCATATTTTTTTTAATTAATTTCTTTAATTTATTCAACAATTTTATAATGAGCTCGAGGCCATTTTTAAATGAAA